GACCCATTGTTTACTCTAATATTCCAGACCAATATAAAATATACTTTAATTCAGTATTACATATTTAGAGACAAAATTCTTCAATTCCTTCATTTCTTTAAAGACTTTTTCTAAAAAAGTAGTTGATAAAAAATAAAAATGTTTGGGTTTTGAAAGTAGAAATTAACTGAAAGATAATTTCCTATTTTATGAGAGAGAGATTAATTAATTGAGAATAGTAATGGCAGAACTCTCAATATCTGAAATACAAATTGGTCTAAAGTTGCTCTATTTTTCAGGGTTCTCATAGAAACAGAACCAATTATCTATTATCTATTATCATCTATTATCTACCATCTATCATCTTTCATCTATCATCTATCATCTATCTATATATCATCTATCATCTATCTATTGAAGGAGTGGAGGGATGGGGAGAGAGAGATATAAAGAATTTGCTCACTTGATTATGAAGGCTGAGAAGTCCCAAAATTTATAGTTGGCAGGCTGGAGACCCAAGAAAGCTGATGGTATAAATTCCAATCCAAAAGTTGACAGGCTTGATACTCAAAAAGAGTTGATTTTTCAGTTTTAGTCTGAAGGCAGGAAAAGACTGATACCCAAATCAACAGTCAGGCAGAGAAGTTATTTCTTATTCAGCCTTTTTGTTCTGTTGGAGTCTATAAGTGATTGGATTAGGCGCACCACATTTGGGAGAGCAATCTGCTTTGATCATTCTACAGGTTCTAATATTAATCTCATCTAGAAACACCCTCACAGACACACTCGTAATAATGTTTGAACAGATTTCTTAGTACCTCAAGGCCCAGTCAAATTGACACATAAAATCGATTATCACTGTCACCAAATATTTTGAATGAATGAATAAACCATTTTACTTTGGATTTTGACATGTAACTACATCTTTGCCCAAAACAAACTTACTTTGTCTTTGCTAAGGGATTTATTGCTTCTTTTAAGCTTTTCATTAGTAACAATCTTCTGATTTCCATTCTTATCTTTAAGTTGGAATAAAACTCTTCAGCTATAATGAATAGTTGTGTAATGAGGAAGGGAGGACTTCAGCCCCATTATTGCCTAATCCCTACTGAGTGAGTTGTCACTCATTTTCAATAAAACAACTTTCTCTTACTCTTATATACTATGAAAATCCATAGCTGCTCTAACGTGACATTTTTCTGTGGAGCATTTGGCATTCATTGTAAATGTATTATTTTAATTACTGTCAAATTAAATTTTCAGATTAGATTTGCTATTAGGAATAAAAAGAACAAACCTAGGGTGAAAATAAGAAAATAAGGCAACAAGAAAATTCAGACATCAAGAATAAACAGCAGGAAGAGAAACTC